ACAGGTAGGGGGTTCGAGTTCACCCAGAGGTGCCTGGGAAGAAGGTCTGGAGGTCTCCTTCCAGAAAATCAGCCACTGCAAACCCCATGGAGGCCAGCTCTACTCTGACCCATATGGGTCGCCATGAGCTGGAAACACCTTGGCAACGACTGGAACCAGTGTGTACTAATAGTGATGACAGCATTCAGTGAGCACCTACTGTGTGCCAGGCCCTGAGCCGGAGGCACCACGAAATAAGGCTTTTAATCCTTAACACTAACCAGTACATACGTTGTCCCATTTTCCCCAAGAAGGGAAGGGAGGATCTGAGAGGCAGAGGGTGGAGCCAAGAAGGAAACCTCTCCCTCTGCCCCCTTCCTCCACCTCCGCCTGCCCCAGAGTACACGGACCACTGACCCAGGGGGCTGAGAGCCTTAGGAACCAGCCCTGTCCACCAGCTGCAGTACTGAGGAGGTCACAAAGCCCTCTGCATCCAGCCGGAAAACGACTCACAATATTAATGTTTCTAAACCACCATGGGGGCACCCACTCTCGGAGCCACCTAGTTTGTTCACACACCTCCCCCCACCCCGGTCTCAGGAACTGCCCGGGGCCTGAGGAAGCAGTTCCTTGCAGTGTGTGGACCTCAGACCCGGCAACCAGGACTCTATCGCCCTGCCTTGTTCTTTCGTGACTGCGTGGTGTAGGGGGCACATTGGCTGCACCCACACCTCTCTGCCTACTCCCTCCCCTCTACCTTCTACTCCTGAAGGAGGGGAGTGGGGTCTAGGAGCAGAAGAAGGACCCTTGTGGGTGTCATGGTTACAATCAGTGCTCTGGGGCAGCCCCTACCATCCTCTCCCTCAGCATCATCACCAAAGCCAGGGGCTATCATGTCACCTATCCAAGCCTCAGTTTACCCCATTGCCCTCAAGCCCCTATGAGAGTAGAGCTGCCCCCATAGGATTTCCTAGGCTGTAATAGTCAGGGGTGCCAGGTCTTTACTCCTGCAGAGCTGTTGGTGGGGTCGAACCACCAACCTTTTGGTGAGCAGTGGAGCACTTACCTAACCGCTTGCCACCGGGGCTCCTCAGCCTCAGTTTAAAGGGAGTAAATGGTTATAACGAGAGCCGTTTGGAACTTAGGGAAACAATGCACAGAAAGACCTAGCACTGTAAACAATAAATGGCCACTACCACGGTCATCATTACGTTTACTACCGATGCTGTTTTTGTGCACTGTTGAGTCCATTCTGACCCATAGGGACCCCATGTGACAGGGTGGAACTGCCCTAAAGGGCATTGTGGGCTGTCATCCTGGCTGGGGCAGGGCCACTGAGTGGGTTCCAACAGCCACCTTTCAGTTATCAGCCAAGCGCTTAGCCATTGTGTCTACAGGACTCCAATATTTACTACTAGTATCATTATTAAGGAACTCTGGTGCACTGCCTAAGGTATTTGACTGCTAACTAGAAGATTGGTGGTTCAAACCCACCAGCGAGCGGCTCCTCAGAAGGAAGATGGGGCAATCTACTTCTGTAAAGATTTGCCGCCTTGGAAACCCAGTGGAAATCCAATGGGGGTCACTATGAGTCAGATTATATAATGTACCCTTGCTTTCCGTCAGGGATGCCTCAGGTAAGGGCACAGGTGAGCTCTCGCCAGAAGGCAGAGAAGGCCCTGTTTTGGTCAGTGGACCAGGATTCCATTAGCTCTGGTGGAGGTGGGGAATAGTTGCATTGGGTGGTGGTGAGGGGGTCACTGGTTACACTTCCACCCACCAGGTCAGCTGAGTTCAATAATTCCCTCTGATCTGGGGGTCCATGGCTCCCTCTCTGTCCACCATCACCCACGGGCCAAGAACTGGGGTCACTCACCGCCATGACCAGCTCGAACGGGTACTTGTAGACACGGACAGGTGACTGGTATTTCCGCACCATGTTCACCCAAGGCTCCAGGGGAAGCCGCCAAGGCACCGTGAGCATGCAGAGCCTGGGAGGGGGTGACGTGTGAGGGACGGCCCCAGCTCCCCTCTGGCCTCACCCACTCATCTCCCAGCCCTCAAAGTGAGGGGGTTGGGGAATGATCCCCAAATTACCCCGGGCCAGACCTCACACCCGTGCCCTGTCCATTCCTCCCTCCCCAGAACAGCGCAGTCAGCACCCCCAAACATTCCTTCTCCACCTCTCCAGACTGAGGGCTCCCACACGCGCCCCTCACTGCCGCCCACGTGAAAACACCCCACCCTCAATTCTTACCCTCCTACAATTCAATTCAGGCATGCACCCCACAAACATCCTGACTCTATAGCATCCCCAAGCATTCTTTCCATTTTCCTCCAAGACACACCAACATACACACATGGAGCTCACCAAACTGCACACGCACTATCTCCGTCATACACACACACACACACACATAACTTTGCACACACACCTACCGACACCAGCACACACACAATGCCCTGGTGCGCACAGACGTGTATGCACACATGCACACCTGCACATACACACACACACACACACGTACACAAGCCTGTACACAATCCCCTCAGTCCCGCTCACCTCGCCCTCGGAGCCTCTGGAGACGCAGCCCCAGGGCAGTGCCCTGGGCGCCCTCCCGGCTCCGAGCCGGAGCTCCCCGGGCCGCCCGGCTCTGAGAGCAGTGCCTGGTGCGGGGCCCGAGTGCAGCCGCCCGGCCTGTGGCGTCCGGCCCTCCGCACCCAGGGTCCCGGCCGGCCGGGGACCCGTCTGAGGGAGGCGATCAGGACTGAGGGATGGAGCGCTCTAAGACCCGGGAGAGCGGAGATGCTGGCCTAGTCCCGCCCCCGGTCTGGCCCCGCCCAGATCCACTCTGCCTCCGGAGTAGTATTGCCCCAGCTTAGCCCCGCCCCTCTTCGTTCTCCCTCATGTATTTGGTCCCGCCTTCAGACCAGTCCTTCCTCCTAATTGGCCACTCTTTGGGAAGACCCCACCCCTAATATTATCCAGGCCCCACCTTCCCTCCTATTTCCAAGCCTGGCGCGGCGCCTCCTAGTGGTCCCGATCCTAATGTGCCAGGCCTCGGGAAGACCCCGCCCTCAAGCTTCACCACCAGCTTGGCCACGCCTCCAGGCGGACCCTGAACCCAGACCGGCCCCGCCCCTCCTGGTACAGTTGACTTTTGGCCCTTTGCCTAACTCAGATTCACCTTGGTCTCCAGTCCCTTCACAAGGGGCTCAGAACCCCAATCCTGCACCTGGCCACGCCCCAGGGCGCTCAGTGCCCCGCCCCAAGCCCCGCCCACTCCTCCGTTCATTCTTTCACCTAGATGTTTACAGAGCTTCTACCAAGTGTCAGGCACTGCTCCAGACGCTGGCGAGTGAACAAAACCAAAAAAATCTTTGTCCTCATAGAGTCTGCATTCCTCTGGAGGACACAGACGTTAAATAACGGAGGGAAACTTAGAGCATGTGAGCTGCGGGAAATGCCAACGAGGAGAAAAGAAGCAGGGAAGGGGAACGGAGAAGGAGTGGAAAACTCGAAACTCACTGTCACCCAGTCGATCCCTCCTCACAGTGACTCCCAGTGGGTTTCCGAGGCGGTAAATCTTTACGGAAGTAGATTGCCCAGTCTTCCTTCCGCGGAACCGCTGGTGGGTTTGAACCACCAACCTTTTGGTTAGCAGTAAGATGCCTTAGGTACTGCGCCACCAGAGCTCCTTGAAAGGGAGTGGAGTGGGTGCAACTTAAAACAGGATGGTTTGGGGCTCTCTTCCAGTCCTCCCAGGACTCCCAGAGGCCCAGCCTTCCTGGCAATGAACCCGCCCTTTCCACACCTCATCTGCTGGGACCTACGAGAAGCAAGAGACCTACTGTGGACAGCGCTGTCACCCGTGTATTTGTTCATGAGTGCTTACTATGTGCAAGGATACATAGGTGAGTCGGGCAGAAGTGCCTGGGGTGGAGAAGCGGGCACAGACAGGTAATATTCGTTTATCAAACTCACCATTCCCTGTACCCTGCGCTAACAAGCTCCTGGTGTGTATCGTAATGATTTTATTTATTCATTTGTTTGTGGGCTGCCGACTGTCTCTCCCCAGACACTGTGAGTTCCATAGGGCAGGAAGCGTGTCTGTCTTAGTCATCTATCCGCAGGCTTCTACTAGGGGTCTGGTACACAGGAGGTATTCACGACTTAGTCTCGATTCAAAATCATTAAGAATGAAAATGACGTGCAGAGCTCCCTTCCTGCCACAAGGTGGCAGCAAAGGACAGCCCGTGGATCCAGGGAGTCTCGAAGAAGGAAACTGAGGGTGGAGATGGGGTCCCAGGGACGTTGGCCCTGCAGAGGCGGATCAGACAGAACTCTCAGTCCTGCGCCTGAGCGTCAGTGCCTGGCACGCAGCTCACATTAACATCGTGAGCTGTCGTTACCAGCACGAAGGCATTAAGTTGGCACAAGGCAACCACACAGGGTGATGTTTACACCCGGAAGGATGGGGCCAGGCAGTCTGTCGCACACTCTCCAGGCCCTAAGACGCCCCAGAGAAGCTCTGGTGGCTCAGTGGTTAAGCACTTGGCTGCTAACTGAGAGGCAAGCAGTTTGAACTACCAGCACTCCACAGGAGCAAGCTCCGGCCATCGGCTTCCATAAAGATGACACCCTGGGAAACCCTATGGGGCAGTTCCACGCTGTCCTCCAGGGGCACTGTGAGTCAGAATCGACTCCAGGGCAGTGGGTATGGTTTTTGGTTTAATCCTCCAAACAGGCCCCAGAGTGCCCGGTGATCTGGAAGCGGAGAGAGGGCGTCCTTGTGCAAGACTGGGAACACACTAACTGCTGCTGCGTTGTACCCATTCAAACGGTTAAATTTCATGTGTCAAGTTCTGCAGGTTGTGTGATTTTCTAATTCCTGTGAAAATATTGTTTAATAAATACATAAAACTCATCAAGTGCTGTGAGTCACTCGCGTTTCCGAAGGAAGAGTGAGATACTGCTGACCACTACAAGTATCATGAGTGTGGGGCTGGTGCCCGTGACCCTGACCCACAGGCTGACCGGCTGGGTGGGAGGCAGGAGCAGCCCTCATCCCTCCAGGTGGTTGATATTTAATTCTGCTCCCTCACCTCTGAGTTCATGAAAGTCGCCAGCCAGCACCCAAGGCGAGCCCTCAATAAATACTTTTGATATGAATAAGTTGTTGTTGTTAGGTGCCGTCGAGTCGTTTCCGACTCACAGCGACCCCACGCGCAGCAGAACGAAACACTGCCCGATCCCGCGCCAGCCCCACAATCCCTGCTATACTTGAGCCCATCATCGCAGCCACCATGTCAATCCATCTCGTTGAAGGCCTCCCCCTCTTTCGTCGACCCTCCACCCTACCAAGCATGACATCCTTCTCCAAGGAATGGTCCCTTCTGACAACATGACCAAAATAGGTGAGATACCAAAATAGGTGAGATGAAGTCTGGCCATTCTCGCTTCCAAGGAGCATTTGGGCTGCACTTCCTCCAGGACAGATCTGTTAGTTCTTTTAGCAGTCCGTGGTACTTTCAGCATTCTTTGCCAGCACCACAACTCAAAAGCATCAACTCTTCTTTGGTCTTCCTTATTCATTGTCCAGCTCTCACATGCATATGAGGCGATTGGAAATATCATGGCTTGTGTCAGGTGCGAGCTTATGAATAAGTGGTGGGTGGGGAAGGCCCCCAGATTTCATGTTGTGACTCAGTCCACTACTTTATCCTATGGTTGTATCCAAGTTACGTGTGTGTTTAAATAATACTTCATTGTGTTTTCAGTGAAGGTTTACACAGCAGTTTCAGTTCTCCTTCAACAATTTCTACACAAGTTGCTCAGTGACCTCGGTTACATTCTTCACAACATATGAATGTTCTCATTTTCATTCTGTTTCCATTAATCTAATTTCCTTGCCTCAAATGGTTAAATTTATGTTTTAAGAATTTCATCTCAGAAAACAAAAATACAAGGTCTATACTATTTTACAGAGTGGCATAGTGCCTAAGGCATTTGTGATAGTTGGAGCTGTGTCAACTTGGCTGGACCACAATTCTGTGTGGTTTAAGCAGTTGTGATGTGGTTATTCCTATGATAGGATCGGATATATATGTTTTGAGCAGCCAATCCTCTGAAAGAGAATTTCCCTAGGGGTGTGGCCTGCTTCCAATATATTAATGGATACCCTGAGAAAAGAGACACTCTTCTGTGGATTGGGATTCTGTTGTGCTGCCTACAACTGTCCGTGAGCAAACAATCACCATTCAGCTTGGAGATCTTGGATTCATCATTCGTTGGAGTCAACAGCCAGTGTACTGCCTGCCAACCTTGAGCTGGTCAGCCCCTGCAACTGTGTGAGTCAGGAAAAGCCTCCAGCTTGATGTTTGATCCAAGAACTTGGGACTTGCCAACTTCTATAAGTGTGTGAGCCATTTTCCTAAGATAAACTTCTCTTTCTCTATATGTAGATATAAACTTTACTGGTTTTGCTTCTCTAGAGAATCCAGCCTAACACAGCATCTGACTGCTACCCAGAAGGCTGCCGGTTCAAACCAACCAGCCACTCCTCGGAAGGAAGGTTGGGCAATCTACTTCCAAAGAGATACCACCTTGGAAACTCAAGGAGGGGTCACTGTGAGTCAGATCCGACTCAACAGCAGTATGGTGCATTGTTATACTGTTTCAATCTTCATTTTACCTATGAGGAAGCGAAGGCACAGAGAGGTTGAGTGACTGAGCCAAGGTCATGCTGGCTGTGAGGCTGATTGCTATGCTGAAGAGGTTTGTGTGCACTCCTTCATTGAATGGCCATGACAACCTTATGAAGTGGGGACTATCACTATGTACTTTGGAGATGAGGAAACTGAAGCTCAGAGAGGTTAAGTAACTTGCCTGAGGTCACACAGCTAGTAAGGGGTAGCAGTGGAACTGGAACCCAAGGT